GCGATCGAGGCCGCTTAAGCTCACGTACCCCCGACTAGACCGCTCGGAGAACATGTCTGTCATTGGATGATCGCACCGGACGAGCCCAAACACCTACGACATCTGAATAATCCAATGGGTGAAGCGAGTACCTCAAACGAGCACCGAGGCGCTTGCAACTCAAACGCGCACGGAGGCGCGAGCACTTCTTTTCAACCCGGTGAAATAGAGCACATGAATCCTGATGCGCATTGGGTAACAGACTGACAGCAAAAAATGTTCATAAGCAATTAAATTTCCTCCTCTTAATTTATAAATACATAATCACAAAAAATAAAAGTTAATGCATATAATTGTTTTTGAGTGATCCCTTGGTCTTGGAAAAATTAAACGAATTGTTGCCGAGCATTTCCACGACGCTTGGGCCAGTTACGGGCAAGTAGATAAGGAGACCCGTGAGTTCTAGTGGAAGATGTTCAAGGTGAAAATAAATTAATTATGCACAACTTGTTAGCAATTGAATTTTAATAAATGATTCATGATTTTTTTCAATAAAGCGTGAACATAGATAGGAAATTGGAGAAGCCGATGATATAAGAATACAATTCAAGAGTCTCGACTTGGATGAGATCTCAATTTTGGCACGTCTGAAGTAAAAATATAAGGTCGAATTACATCTCCGAGGACATTTGGATTAGGCATGTACATCATTGGGCAATTGATCCGAGCTTTAAGAAATTAAGCGAAGCGTAAGAAAACTAAGAATAGTGAGAAAGCGAAGAAGACTCAATGACGTGGGGGCCACGCGCTTGTTGATGCACATAAAAAACTGGTAATCAATAGGGTTAATTATATAAATAATTATTATTAAGTAATTTTTAATTTGTGTAGGAGGGACCTGGACCCCCAAAAAGTGACAAAATGTGATTTGATCAAGACTTGTTGATATTCAAAGACCGAAGAGTCATGGTTGCCCTGAAGTCGAAGTAAAGAGTGTAAATCATAATTATATAATAAATCACTAAATAATTTTTTAAATCATGACTATAATTAGTTTATGAATTTGTAGAGGAAGTGTGATGAAGATAAGTTGAAGAAGATTGCCGAGTGAAGTGTTTCGGAAGCGGAAATTGGTAGCTAGTGAAGAAGATGATGACGCCTACATGACGACGGCAGGTGTAGTGAAAGGTCGGGTTTCGTGTATGGGTTCTCAATCTCGTCGTTTTTTGAAAAAATCTTGAGGGGCCAGTTCATTTTCTCAAGTTGTGGCTAGCAAAGACCGGGTGACCGGACTCGAGAAGGAATTACAAAGAGAACGAGAATATCAGGAAGATGAGTTGAAGAGAGATAAAAAAACGGGAGCTCATGGAAAGTCAAATGAATGAGTGTTTTTTCCAAATGGCGGGCTCCAATATAGACTTAAATGCATCCCCAAATGTCACTCAAACGCAACCACATATGACTAACATGGGCACGATGTTCACACCTACCCTATCTTTTGGGGGATGCCAACCAAAATGCTTGGAATGCCACCCAAGTGTCTTTTATGTCGTATCATCAAGCTCGTCAACATTTTTTTACTCCTGGACGAGGCGTCGGGCAAGATGGCAATCAAGGGGATGGTCAAGGTCAACCCGAATCAAGCTTCCATCCTAGTACCGAATTTGATTTCAACTTGTATTTTGACCCCAATGGGAACCCTCCTAGCTAGTCCTCCAAATACATGTAATAGTATTAGTAAACAATTTCTTTAATTTTGCAATTTATTTTGTTGCTGGATTTTTTTTAATCTAATAATTTCTTTGTCACAGATTGTAGCGGTGACAATTTTTTTTTTAATTCGGAACACCGTTTTTGTTCGCTTTCTTTAAGTGAAATTTTTATTTTTTTAATATTACATTTGTCACGGATACAAGTCGTGACAAAAAAATTAAAACCTTGTGGCGCCATTGTCACGGATGCAATCCATGACAAAGTTTAACTTTTCAAATTCTAAAATTTCCCGCTCCGTTGTCACGGATTTCATCCATGATAAAGTCGTTGTGGACGGTTTTGCCACAGATATATTCTGTGACTAAATTTTGTCAGGGATTGTGTCTGTGACAAAGTTTTGACACGGATGATTGACTGCGAAAAACTTTTGTCACGCCCATGATATCACATAATTTTTCCTTGCCAAAACATTTTAATTAGTCACAGATTATTTAGTTGTTCGTGACAAAATTCATGACAACATTCCTGTTTTTTTATAGTGCAAAAAATTGCTCGCTACTTGGCAAATTAATTAATTGATAAGGGAATACTACGTATAAATGTTCCAATCATTCCATCTCAAAATCTATTTCCCAACATAAAATATGCCATAATCCAATGATATAGCCTGAAAAACGATTAAGGGAGTAGAAACATAACAAAATACAAAATAGAAAAGGTGGATCATTTTTAAACAATACATGAGCTTAAATAATGATAGTTTAAATGATACTAATAGAGTTATAGATTGGATATATATGTCATATACATTATAGACCTCAAATATATAATGAGTGAATTTGACGCTATTTTTAAAATTTGAGACTACAGTCAATATTACACATCAAATTTGACTAATTTCAAATTATAATGGTGTTGATTTTTCAAGAATCATAACTTGTTACTCCTAATGAGTTATGAGAATCATAATATCAAATTGAAACTATTTCAATGGTCTATATTCTCGAACTTTAAAGGGGATCAGATGAGTTTTAAGGGAATTAGCTCACCATTCTGACCCCTAACTCAGCCCCTGCCTCAAACAATAAACTCTTTTTTCCCCTTCTCAAACCCAATTTTAGAGATTCCGTCCATTCAAAACGTGCTTTTTACGCTTGCATAAGCACACATTAGTACTTCGTTCCAATTTCCAACTCAAAATAGCATCTCAAAAAATGCAGCAACAGCAACAAAGGCCGGAACCACAATGGAGGAAACAGACTTTCCTTGAATTGGAGAATTAGCTACCGGCACTGGCGAACTTCCGGCCGGACTTCCCACCGTAGTAGGAACTCTTGTCGGACAGGGCCGGCCCAAGGCAAGTGCCACAGGTGCAACCGCACAGGGCCCATGAATTCGGAGGGCCCAATTTTTAATAGTCCTTCTCCTACTATATATACCACTCAAGAGCCCAATAGTTAAATCACAAGCTTTAATTAAAAAATTTGACAGCAGGGGGTTTCGAACCCTAGACACTTTCTAATGCACGCATAGAATGAGCCAACTCCACCATTGGATTTATGTTAACAATCTTCCAATTGTCGTTTTTATACCTATAACTATCGATATTAATTTGTAATCATTACAATTTATGAAATATCATTACGTTTATCAATTATATTTATAAATTATCCATTTAACTCCAAAAACATCTTAAATTTATGACTATTTTATATAGTGATGCATTAATTTTTAATTTATTCTTATAACCATTAATAAATTTTGAATGAGAGTTATTTTTCATCATAAACCTTTAATCTTATATGTGTGTGTGTGTTATCTTCCTTTTTTCGATACACGTTGACTGGGTTGACTGGTATTGATTGCTTGTCCGAGTCGCCTCAATATCCGGATTTAACAACATAGCGTATTTGGGCGTTTTCAATTCGAAGCTTGAACGATCTTCCCCAAAATCCAGCTACACACACCCATATGATATGCCCTTTTATCCAATTAATGGAATGATGAACGGTCTAATATTAGATTTGATTATTCTCCTTTAATTTGTTTCAGAGAATATGGAGTAATAATCTTATTTATTATATTTTGTAATTCTTCTATTATTCTTTTTTTGGGTTTTGATTTCAAGTTTGAGTGCTTTAGTACGTAGATAATTATATTTGGATTGTTTGTAATAATTGAACTTGGCGAATCACCAAGTTCAAATATTAGATTATTAGTCTATTAATTTATAATTTAGTTTAACAAATAAATGAAGTGTACGTTGTTAAGGAAGAGACTGAAGCCTATGGTCTTCGTGTGGCCATCAGTACAGCTATTAAGGAAGGTTGGGACCATGTTGATTTTGAATCTGATGCTCAGGTGGTGGTACGGGGACTGGGTAAGAGAGGAGGATTGACATACTTGGATCTTATTCTTGATGATATACACTTCTTGATACACACAAAGAGGTCTTTTAGTATCTCTTATTGCAAAAGGTCTGCGAATCGTGTGGCTCACGTCTTGGCGAGATCACATGTTAGCATCTCAGATCATAGTTTTAGTTATGAGAGTATTTCGAGCAGTGTTGTAAGCCTGATGTCAAATGATCTTCTATTATTATAATGATGACGGGTTAATTTTGCAAAAAAAAGGAATATTTTTATTTTAACCATTATGTTAGTGAATAGCTTATATTTTGATATAAATTATTATTGTAGCAAATTATTACAAATATAATCTTCACTTATAAAATATTTCTGCTTCTTTTAGAAAAAGTCCATATTTTATTTTTGCACAGGGCCCGTATATTCTCGGGACCGGCCCTGTTGTCGGAGATAACGGCAACACTGTTGGAGCTATCAAAATGTAGAAAAAAGGATATATCACCACATATAATATAATATTATAAAAGGAAGAATTCAGTGACAATAACAGGTTCGTATGGACTAGCTAGTGTTCATATGGGCAGCACACCCTTTACCAAGTAAGTGCAATTTTTTGTAAAGTCAACATTATTTGCTATTGGATCAAAAACCCATACAATCAAACATGAAACTTAGGGGTGTTTGGAATTGATTCCGCTTCTGCTTCTTTTTTAAAGTAGAAACAGAATCAGAATCAGTTTTCAGAAGATGGTACCTACAGCTTCTAAAAAACTGATTCTGAGAGTAAATTAGAGCACCAGAAGTGCTTCTGGAATTTCACCCAAACACTCTAGCTTCTGCTTCAGCTCCGTGAAGCAGCAGAATTAGTTTTGAGAATCAGATCCAAACACCCTTAATTTCGGGACCGAAAGAGTAAAATAGAAGCAATGGAAAACAACTCACAGCCGCAATTGCTAACGGATGAGTCGCTAACGTTGCAAGCAGAGGGGAGCGTCATCGCCTTGGTGACGTTCAGAGAAACTCCGAAATCCGCGCTGCTCTTAAACCCTTCACACAGGCAACTCCGGTTGGTTTTCAACACCAGTTTGATCCCGGAGCAGCAGCTCCCCTGCGGCTCCGTCTTCGTACTGCCATTGGAGACGAAAGATAGACAATCAGCCAGGTTGTCTATCATTATGACGGAGCCGCAATCTTCTGCCGCCGCGGTGATCGGCCACACGGCGAGAATGTACACCGCCAGTGAACAAAAAGCGTTCGAGCTCAAAGCCATTTTCTAGCAAACGGAAGATTGATAGGAGATTTATTAGGATGAAGGGAATGTAGCGATCGATGGTGAATGGAAAATGCTGAGATTGTGGGCAGAGGGAAAGGCTTATGCTGTGTATAAGGATAGAGACGGTGTTGCACTTTCTCAGTTAGTTCAGGTGTAATGTGAACATACGAGTGGGGGCCACACTGTTGACAGCAAGGAATTGATGCGTCCCTCACTTTCCTAAATCATTGGTGTGGTCAATGATCCTTTGGCTGCACGCCATTCCAGAATTCATTTTATACGTCTATCAAATTATCCATATACAACTAAATCGGCGTTTTGTGAAGAAAATCGGAACTTGCGAAGACAAAAAGAAAATTGTCTGTGTCATATACAATTTTATTTTTGTCTGTGTGAAAAACAGTTTTCTACACAAAACGCCGGTCAAATTATTTGTAAACAGAAATTTTGACCATAGCGTAAAATGGCATGTACACTTTGATGCGTACAAATAGCATTTTCGGATCATCTATTACTGTTAGGGAAAAAGGGCAAATAAGCCCTCGAACTAACCGAAAAAGTGCAAATCACCCCTTTTATTTGAGGCTCTGTCCGGCCGTCGCCATTTGGGGCCGGGTTCCCGGTGGAATTTTTTATTGAATTTTTTTGAGCATCTTCTTCATTAAGTCTAGTTTACCTATACCAAATTTCAGCTAAAAATGCAATCAGGAAGGCAGTCAAATAAATGTTTGAAGATAACTGTGTAGTTAAACAACGCAGTATATTTCAGAAAATCATTTGATTACCTTCCCGTTTTGATTTTTAGCTAAAATTTGGTATGAGTAAACTAGACTTAATGAAGAAGATCCCGTCCTCCCCAAATGGTGATGGTCGGAGAGAACCTCCTATAAAAGGTGTGATTTGCAATTTTTCGGTTAGTTCGAGGGCTTATTTGATCTTTTCCCTTACTATTACTATCTTCTCAAGGATGGTAATCATGGGACTCGCCTAATGTTAAATATTTTACATTCCCGATTCTTTTATAGTAAGAAATTATGGTACATACGCATAAAATCCTCTCTGAATTCCAAAAAGTGATTGTGATAATGCTTTTTATTCTCTAAATATACTACAAGACGTGTTGTGACAAAATACTACTTTGTATCATATTTTGACATTATGAGATTTTATAATAGCATTATTTTTCAAGTTTAACAGTAAGTACTCATATTTAGATAATGAAAAAAGTACAGTCTTATTTTAAAATTCCAAAACGTTATTACTCTCATCTCGGGAATTTTCCCTTACTTGTTTTTAAATACTTAGATTTAAGACTTCTATATCTTCGAAAAAATACATATTCTATAGTACTCTTAATATATCATACTTTTCAACACGACTTAATTAAAATTCAACATTAGAATAAATTAAATATAAATAAATGTTGGAATCATTTTTTGACCAATTAAATGTATAATAGGTTCAATGTCCCATTTTTTTACAAATTAAATGTATAATAGGTATAGTACAATGTCCTAGACTCCATTTGTCGTTGACACACTCTCATACGGAGTATATGGAATGTCCTGAGTTTGGAACTCCATAGAAACAGTTTGGAATCCCCCTACCCCACCCCTCAGTATAAAAAAAAAGAATAGTGTACGTAAAAAAGTACTCGTATAATATCTTAGTACTCGCCTTGATTTAAAGCTAAGGGTGTGATTTTGCCTTAAATTTTTAGTTTGGTCTTGTCCAATTTAGAGTTTGTCCCGTATAATGAAATTTTCTAGAGTAGATGAATCGATTCAAACTAATAAAAAAAGGATGACACCCATCCCTGAGGGCGCCCCAACACCGACCGGACGACACGATGGGAGGATGTAAATTGGACTATAATCACAATCTGATAGATAGAGAGTGCCACAAGGGTTAGGTCTCGGGTTCGAATCCCGGCAACTGCGATGAGGGGTTACTATGCTGAAAAATGCATAGGGCTTCTGCAAGTACCTGGGACAGAGCCCCACTCTCTATCTATCAGATTCAAACTAATGAAATTATTAATGAAGGAGTTGAATCGGCTGAATTAAGAAAAAACTATATATTTAAAATACATTTTATTAATAAATAAAAGAAAGAATTTTGGAAAAGCAGCATATGTGATCACATTTGCTCAAATGTGGTATGACATTGCAACTGGTCCATGCATGTGAAAACACCATCACTGCTATCAGGGGCGGATCCAAGAATATGAGATGCCCTGGGCTGAATAGGAATTATACTACACTTAAATATTAGCGGAGTGGGCTAAATGTTAAAAGTGAAAATGTTAATAAAATGGGGTTCGAGTAGAGAAAGCTCTGCCTTCTCACTAGGAAAAAATTTCCCAGCGGTCATTTTTCCTATGTTGCTCGAACTGCTCTTTCATCTTCAGCTCTCAAATTAATCCGTTAATCTTGGAATTTTAAGCTTGAACGGCGATTTTTTGAGGTCCCAGGTCGTGCAATCGCAAATTTCAAGTTTGAGCTCCGATCTGGTTTTGGATGATTGTTTCAGGAAAAGGAGGGTTGTGTGGGGGTCGCCATCCTCTGGCGAACCTCCCATTGCAATTTCCGTAGCTCCAACCTTCATCAAAGTCCAGAAACGAAGGATTCGAAGTTGAAGACTACTGTTCATTCGCAGTTCATAGCAGAATTGATTTCTTCTGATTTCTCAACTCTTCTCGGTCAATTTGATTTCTAAAGCCAAATTGGAGATCATCTTGCTGAAACGAGGCTAAGGACACCTCATTGGGCTCCTATAAGTCGGTATTCAGCTTTCTCCCAGTTTCTTGGCTACTGTTGATTGTTTACAGGTTACTCTGCTTCTTTAAATTCTGGAAATTTTTGTGGCCTGTTATGGGAATACAAACTGTACCAGTAGTTTCGGATTTTCAAGGTGAATATAGTAGATTTTTTTCAGAATTTTCTGAGCATTTTCTGAAAAAAGGTTACTGCTCATCCCCTACTGCCTTAGACAGACCGCTACAGTTATGGGTAGCATCATTTGATCTAGCGAAATTAGCCCTAGCTTTATTTGATCTAGCATCATTTCGCTAGATCAAATGATGCTATCCATAATTTTGTGTTGTTTCTTGGAAACGAAAGTGACAAAAGATGGTTTTAATAATTATGTTTCTAATAAATGGCCTGGTTGGCTCTTTGAAACTAATTTTCAAAAAATTAATGGTGGCCAAATGGCCATTATGTGGAATCCTTGTTTTTTAGATTGCGTTGTTACTGTGGTTCATGAACAATATGTGCATTTTAGGTGTGTATGCCGAACCACACAAAATTATTTTCAAGTGACGTTTGTGTATGCATTGTATACCGTTCTGGAGCGTGAAGCGTTATGGGATGAACTTGCTATACTAGGTGACCAAATTAGGGAGCCTTGGCTTATAGCAGGTGACTTTAATTGTGTGAAGCTTGATAGGAATTTGCAAGATGGGTGGCTTGGTAGCATCAATCTCCACAAGAACTCTAGCGAAATTAGGCCTAGCTTTATCTTGAGTGACCTTATCGGCAATGATGGGCATCCCCACCCGAGATGCTAGCTCACTCATCTCTTCTTTATTCCAAAGCCTAACCGAGAGCCCCGAGAACTTTATCCATGTTGGAACTTTTAGGAATTCTTCATCATGAACTTCAAAATCTTCGGATAACACTTTGAGAAAAAGTGCTTTCCCATATAAGGAATAAGGTCCCTCCACTAACACCTTGGTACGGTCCTCCTCACTTTGAAAATGGAAGATAACCCATCCCTTATCATGGGACTTGATCTTACATTGTACACCCCACTTTAAGGTGAGGTCTTGTATAGCTCACATGCCCGGGAACCTACCTGCAAAAAAGCCAACCAAACAAAATCCCCATATCTCAATGAGAGTAGGGAGCTTACGGTTTGAGAAGTCCACAACTTCGCCCTTTGGTTCGATGTAGTCTAGCTTCATCCCATGAGATAGTGATCTATTGTCATGGAAAAGGTTCACCCACGGCTTCTTAACCCCCGGTTCTTCATGATCTCCAAGGTCCTCCTTATAGCTAGGAGCTGTATCTTCCGACCCAAGGGTTACGGATTCTTCATCAACAATACCATCAATTGACGGTTCCTTTGAGTTAGCTGCATGAATGGGAGTAGGATCACTGGTAGAGTTAGCCGAATGCACAAAAGAGAAATCTCTCGAGGCCTCGGCATTAGAGGAAGCAGTCTGCCTCACAAGTGGAACTACCGGATTGATAGTCATTTTGGAAGCCTCCTTAGGAACATAGGGAGGTAAGACCTCCTTGCGAGTTCCATCCCCTTTGTTCATGAGATCCAATTCAGCTTGTCTAGCTTGGAGCTTTTTGAATTTCTCCTGAAACTGATGGTCCTTCAAAGGAGGGGTGCGTGACTGTTTATTCTTCCTAGTCATTGGGGAAGAAGATGAACAGTACGTTCCACACTCAAGACATGGTTAGAAAATTCTCAAGATACTCTCACACGTTCCCCTTGAGATGAGGAACAACCCAGTATGTTCCTTTTGAAGAATGGACAAGTACGGAATCCAGAAATAATTCCTAACTAGTATTTAGTTCGCAGAAATCACTGTAGCGGTCTGTCTAAGGCAGTAGGGGATGAGCAGTAACCTTTTTTCAGAAAATGCTCAGAAAATTCTGAAAAAAATCTACTATATTCCCCTTGAAAATCCGAAACTACTGGTACAGTTTGTATTCCCAGAACAGGCCATAAAAATTTCCAGAATTTAAAGAAGCAGAGTAACCTGCAAACAATCAACAGTAGCCAAGAAACTGGGAGAAAGCTGAATACCGACTTATAGGAGCCCAATGATGTGTCCTTAGCTTCGTTTCAGCAAGATGATCTCCAATTTGGCTTTAGAAATCAAATTGACCGAGAAGAGTTGAGAAATCAGAAGAAATCAATTCTGCTATGAACTGCGAATGAACAGTAGTCTTCAACTTCGAATCCTTCGTTTCTGGACTTTGATGAAGGTTGGAGCTACGGAAATTGCAATGGGAGGTTCGCCAGAGGATGGCGACCCCCACACAACCCTCCTTTTCCTGAAACAATCGTCCAAAACCAGATCGGAGCTCAAACTTGAAATTTGCGATTGCACGACCTGGGACCTCAAAAAATTGTCATTCAAGCTTAAAATTCCAAGATTAACGGATTAATTTGAGAGCTGAAGATGAAAGAGCAGTTCGAGCAACATAGGAAAAATGACCGTTGGGAAATTTTTTCCTAGTGAGAAGGCAGAGCTTTCTCTACTCGAACCCCATTTTATCCTTAGGCCGTATGGTTCTATTATAGCTTGGAAAATAGTGTTTGCCACTAAAAGAGAGCAAGTACAGCGTCATATACCACTATACCAGCAAGGCCTAGAGGAGTCATAATGCAACCACTCTAACATACTCTCAATCTAAAAATTGTCAAATAAATCCTTAAACTTTTATAAAAAAAAGTCAAATAAATCCTTATATAAGAGGTTTTGTTCGGTCGTCGCGATTTGGGGCGGTTCCCGATGGAATGTTTTGATGAAAATTTTTGAGCATCTTATTCATCATGTCTAGTTTACTCATATCAAATGTCAGCTAAAACTTCATAAATTTCAGCAGAATCAGCCAAATCAGCCGATTTTTGTGCTACCAAATGGGCTCTGAATCATCTTTACAGATATCTAAATCGGGAGAAATACTCAGGTCCAGCCGGATGGATGGAAGCCGGCATCCGAACTCCGCCGTTTGGGGCAATTCCGGGTGGAAGTTTTTGATGAGATTTTTTAAACATGTTCCCAATCAAGTTTAGTTTATCCACAAAAAATTTCAGTTTAAAATTCGATCGTGAAGTCAGTCAAATAATTTTTTGAAGTAAACATCATTTTCTATGTATAATTTTGCGTAGTCAACTTCAAAAAATTATTTGACTGACTTCCCGATCGAATTTTGAGCTGAATGTTTTTGAGGATAAACTAGACTTGATGGGGAACATGCTCAAAAATTTCATCAAACAATTTCACCAGGAATTGTCCCAAACGGCGGATTTCGGACGGCGGCTCCTGCCCCTCCAGCTGGACCTGAGCATTTGTCTCTATCAGTTTTATTGATTAAAATGTACGTGTTCAGATGTCACATTAGTTCGAGAGTCACAAAAGTCCAATTACAATATAATAAAAAATGCTATATATATGGAGTACTTAATAAATAAAAAATGAAAAAATGTAAAATAATATGCGGGTCTATGTTGTCACCTCAACAACCTCCCAGCACCTACAACTCCAATCACCAAAAAAATGTCAAGTGTCAACATGTTTCAGAAATGCTATCTCGGTGACAGTTTTTGAGAAAATTTTAACATTTTCAAGGAGTAAAAATTTCACCTTCATCGCATTTCCAATTATTTTTTTTTTGCAGTTTTTATACAAAATGATACTTCCTCCGTTCTTTTTAGTAGCAACATTCCCCTTTTCACGTTTGCCAATGCACAACTGTGACCATCATTATATTTAATTCTCTATTAGTAAAAAACTTTTAAAAATCAGATTATGAAACTTCATAATGAGACAAATCCAACAATATTTTTAAAAAATAACAATTCACATTCATTAATAACTAAAATGTAGTCAAAGTAGAGTACATGAATAGTGTGTAAATTTCAATGTTGCAACTATTATGATACGGAGGATAGTATTTTTTATCCAATCAGAAGTAACTTGGCTGGGCAGTGGCCGAGAGTGTGGGAAAGGTCTCTATAATTTTTAAGGTGTTTTATTTATTTTTTATTTATTTAATTGTTTTTTATTTTTTTAAAAATATTTTCTATTAGTTTAGTATTATTTTAAAATACTTTTGATTTTTTTACAATTTTTTATGATGTTTTGTAAAAACCATATGAATACCCCTATAATTTGGCAACGTAAAAACCATATGAATACCCCTATTATTTGGCAATAATATGTTCCTAACTCTGTTACTTTTTTTAAAATATACGTAATGTTTTAAGAACATAAAAAATACAATAGTATATTTCTAATTTTCATTTCAGAAAAATATTATTTCTACTTTTTTAATAAATACTACGCATTTAAATTTTATACTTCAATTCGTATTCATTAGCAAATTTATTGATGGAAAGTCTCGGCCTATAATCTATGTTGTAAAAACCGGACCGGTGAGCGACCCGGTCATGTGACTGGGTCATGGGTCAACCCGGACCCGGAGGGTCAACCCGGTCAAAGCCGGAAAACCGGTCAACGATTATACGTCTATATAATAATAATAAACATATAATTATATACACTCTCATTATATATTTTTATTTGTATTGTACATTTATATTATAATTTGGCATGATTTTCATTCTTAAATAAATATATAAATATATTACATAGTTTTTCTTTTTAGGGAATTGAAATTGCAATTTTATTGGTTTAAAAAATGCATTAAAATTAAAAAAGAAATTACTTTTTTTTTTTGGAAAAGACCGAAAACCGGGTTTTCCCGGGGTTTTCGGGTTTCTTGGGTCGGGTCCGGATCGGTTTTTTCAGGTCAGCCGGGTTTTCCCGGTTTTTGACCATTTTCGGGTTTTGAAGAAACCGAACCGGATTTTTGTCCGGGTCACCGGGTTCCGGGTCAACCCGGCCGGGTCGGGTCGGTTTTTTAAACATAGCCTATAATTGGAATTATTTATAAATAGTTAATTCTCCATAGTCGACATTTGCGATACCTTCAATTCCTATGTAGCACCGATACCGGTACGCGGAAAAGCGGAAACGCGGAAACGGGTACGGGGATACGTCAAAACCAAAAAAAGTAGGATACGGATACGGGGCCATATTTATAAATATTAAAAGTTATGGGGATGTTTTTACAAATATTAAAAGTTATAGGGGTCTATTTATAAATATTAAAAATAGATTTTTTTTTGAAAATATATATATACACACACACATATAATATCCTATGATGTCTACCCATTCATTGCATTGAAGCATTTTCCTTTTTCAAGATACTTAATAATAAATTCATAATATTTCTCATATACACTAGTCATCTCGAAATATAAATATAGTCAATAAGTCATTAATTTAAAATGACAAATAAGTCAAACAACTACAATCTTGAAATTAAAAGTGCAAGTATCCAATTAGGAGTATGAGTTAATGACTTAATTCGGATATAGTCATATAGGACCATTATTTGATTACCAAGTAAAATGTAGTTTTAGATTTTCATTTTTGTTTAGAATTTTATTAAGTAAATTTTAGGATTTTTTTTTTAAAAGTTGATACGGGTATCCGTCAGGATACGAGTATCGGAAACTTTCAAAAAATTACAAAAAAAAATGGAAACTTTTAAAAATTGCAGATATGGCCCGGGAACGTACGGTACGGGTATCCTAGAGTATCGGATACGGGAACGTATCGGATACGCCGATACGCTACCCTAGCGAAGTATCCGTGCCTCATAGTTCAATTCAATTATTATTATTGTTGTAGTTATTATTATTATTATTATTATTAATTTTTTCATCAAATATGAATATAATGCATCCAATGCACGGTATGCTCTCAAAAAAACAAACCTCTCGCTTTCTTTCTCAAAACCAACCAATACATGCTCCCTACGCTTGCATACTTACTGCTAGTAGTATGCATAATAAGATGAGTTGGACAAGAAAGGAACACTACTAGTTCGTTCCCAAGTCAAAATAACAACACCAAAAATGCAGCTGCCATGGCAGCAGCAAAGGCCGGTACCCGAATAGACGAAACCGAATTTTCTTGAGTTGGCGAATTAGCTATCGGCACCGGCGAAGTTCCTGCTGGACTTCCCATTGAAGGAGGAGCTCTTCTCGGAGATAATGGAGCTGCCAAAATGGTGAAAAAAAGAAGACGTGTTACCAATTATATAGGGTTTCATGAACGAAATAATTTGAGTGCTAATTTTTTCTTCACAGAAACAATAATAGGTAATTGAATAATACGTACGGAGTATTGTAATTGAATAAAACATCTAAATCCATGATATTATATATAAATCTTAAACCTACAGATTCAAAAAATTGTTATTTTGACATTCACTCCTAGCTATATTTTTAATAGATAGATAACATATTTATAGGGAAGTGTAACTCAAATCAAACAAAAAACAAAAAGGAATCTACACCAAATCAGAAAAACTCACTAAAAATCACGAAAGCTCATTCATTTTGTTTTGCATATACTACCTCCATTCCACATTAATTTGCAAAATTGTTTTTTTGTCAAACCGTTTCATTTTATTTGCGAAATTAGGATGTCAATTTTTAAGTATCTTCTAATTTGGAATTTGCAATTTTGAAGAGATTTTACTATAATTTTTGAATTTGAAAATTTAATTTATTAAAAATTGAATTAGTTATCGATAAGGAGGATTTAACTTCAAAACTATATTATTCAAAAAAAAAACTTTAAAATTATTTGATCAAAAAATGTTGACTTTACAAATCAATTTGAGACGAAAGGAGTACATTATATGGACACCATTACCCTATCTAAATTCATCTAGCGATCTAGGGTCTGTTAATAATTTATCAATTTTTTTTCAATTTTACTCGTTAAATTGTGTGGTAAACTATAATTTAAATGCAATTTATTCATAATAATTTCAACTAAAATATTAACATTTTTAACATATTCAGCCATGGATATCTTATAAATCTTATAAATGATGAAATTGAGTACTACCTCCATTCTTGACATCATGGATATCTTGAAAAAAATATTACTAAATTTGTCTCTTTGTAAATTTTTAAAATCTGATTTTTTAGTTTTTTTTTACCAATAGAGAGTTATACTACCTCTGTCCCCAAAAGAGATGCAAATTTGACTATTCTTAGTCAAACAGTCTCATTTTGTTCGCTTAATTAGGATGCCAATTTTTAAGTATATTCTAATTTGGAGCTTACAACTTTGAAGAGATTTTAATGTAGTTTTTGAATATGTAAATTTTAATTATTAAAAATTGAAGTAATTTTCCATATGAAGAGTTGACTTTTATTATTGCTTGACCAAAAATTGTTGACTTTGCAAAACAAATTGGGACGGAGTGAGTATATATTATGGTCAAAGTTATGTCTCGACAAATGTGAAATGTTGACTATTGCACTTATTTAAGAAGTGAGGAATATATCTTAGCGTAAAATGTGAAGTATGTCTCTAGTACAAAATGAGTTCTTGTGAA